TTCTTGGTTCTAGAAACAAAAGCCCGCTTGCTAGAAGATATCTTAGAAGATAAGGAACTTAAGGGAAATCATTCCGTAAATGATGCACAAGAGAAAGCAAAAGATGATAAACCTCCATTTAAAAGCATAAGTATTCGATGCATTTGCATACAGTCCAAATCCCAGTAACCATCGTCAATAGACTAAATGGAAGAACTAAAAAAAAAAGATACTATGGTAATTTCTTGGCACGTCTGAGTCATGCTTTCAAAAAAGATCCTCCTATTTGCTATAACTATTCAAGAAGAACTAAATAAATAATGCTTGTTCTTGTAACTTCTACGATAAGTACTTATGTGTTGCGTGTTGTATAAAGTTCTTCCTTTCTTGATCTAGTGGAAGAACAAATATAATAATGTTTGTCTTTGTAAGCTTTCACCATGAGCTTTTCTGTGTTATTTTGTGTTTTAAATTTTAATCTTTTTTACCCACAAATTGTGAGTATAGAATCTGATAATCCAAGAACAACCCTCCCCCCACCTAAAGAGGAGGAAAAAACCTTCTCACAACTAACAAAAAAAAAATACTAGTCCAATGCAAGTAGGTTTTATACAAAATAAGTGTAAATATCAATGTCTCATTATTCAATAACAATAATAGTAAGATAGTAAAGGGGTTGTATAAAATAAGTGTAAACATCAAAATCTATGAGACCTTCTTCACGTAACAATAATATATTTTTGTCTAGAAAAGAGAGCTAAAGTACCCAATCGAACCCATTGAAAGGGTTATCATTGAATTTGGAAGTGACAAGAGGAGAATCTAGTAACGGCATGTGAGTCCATCAATCCTCAAAGTTAGCAACATAATGATTCCTACCAATTTCTAGCACTTAATCATTTTTTCCCAATTAATTGACTTAAACCACTTGTGGCTCTTAATAATCTCACTACTACTTAGTCTATTGCCAAGATATTTGCTGGCTTCTTTTTGCAACAACTGAAGAAGAAACTTTATCATTCTTCTATTCGCATTTTATCCATAGATTCTAATTTATGTCACTCATTTATGATAAATTCAATTTTTGCAAGTATATCAAAATCATAGCCTAAAGAATGATGAAGGTGAACCCCCTTAGCAATGAATGTGCCTCGTTAAACAAAAATGCCGAAAGCTTGACCTTGTCATTTATTATCTTTCACTAGATCTTCTGTCTATTTCCATCGGTAAAGGGAGGCTGTAATTAGAGAAAACAAGGATGCATGTGAAGTTTAAGGAATAAGGTTAAAAATTTAAAGCAAAAATAGCTTTCATAATTAAACTACAATGAAAAAAATAAATTAGGTATAATAAAGCAAGCCCTATCTATATAGCTATTAGCACATGTCACATGTCAAAATAAAAAAGGGAACAAAATTATATAGCCACCAATCTATGAGGGAAAATGGTGTACATACAATTCAAAGAAACTGACATTTCCTATAATCATTTCAAAAATTAGAATTCTAATACTCCACCAGTCAGTTGCCTTATCTCATTCTTTCCCCTAAAAGAATTTCAGGGACCATGTATTCTAAGGTTCAAGACATAGAATTTTACCTTGAATTCTCTCAAAATTGCCTAGCTAGGCCAAAATCCATCAAAACTACTTGGTGTTAAGCAGGGGAATAAAGTAAAAGGAAAATAGAGGAATTTAAGTATAAGTCAACAAGTCCTTTTAAAGTAAAAAGCACAACTGCACAAGCGAGCCTAATGCAAAGGAAAGAGAGTTTTATGTGTTCTTACATGGCCATGTGAGTCAAGAAGAATATTTTCAGGTTTAAGATTCTTGTGCATTATGCAATTTGCATGAAGATGAGAGACAATCAAAACAATCTTTGCAATATAAAAGCGAGCCAAATCCTCCCTGAAAGAAGTGAAACATGTAGGATGGATGTGTACTAAATTTTTAAGATAAGTTCACAAAGTTTCTATACTAGCATACCTTAATAGGCCTTAACTATAAAGCCAAAAGAAAAGGTGACCACCATTCATAAAATCAAGCACAAGGTGCAACCTATACTTTGTCTACAAGACTAAAAAATGCAAATATGATGGTGCTATGCTTTTAGTCTATACTTGTACATAAACATTTGAATTAACAAATAATATTGCTAATAATTACTTTGAATGAGTGTCCGAGCAGCACAATAAAAGGGTGATAAACTGTTTGTTAATAAATCCCTTTCATATATCATATAATCAACGTGATTTCTCTATATGATCGTGTCTATCCATATGACCTTTATTGCACAAATATCAGATGTCCCTCCCATCCTCACCTGGTACACGTTCCCAAATATACCTTGCCCAATAACATTTAAGACTTATAAAATCTTGGACTCCAATGCTTTGATGTTTTAAATTGATGTTATTAAACTTCCTTCAAATGTTTGTTAGACTTCTCTTCCTCAATTTCTTTTGATGTTTCTCTATAAACCTCCTCCGTTAGATCTAGTGCATCCTCCTTCTCAAGTAAGTTGATTTTGGTAATCTTTAAGGAATAACTGATATAGGTTGTACGCCCTACAAAAGAATGGGATCGGTTGTAAATGACAGTAGGATTGTTGCATATACTTTCATTAGGATTTGGCACAACCATCAAGTTTTTAGACTTCTCACAATTGAATTCTTTTGACAGTTGAATAAGAGCTGGACCAAACACATTAGAAAAATTAACCTTATCATAACCATAAGGCAAAACATCAGGTGATTTACTTGCTTCAAGAAGTTAAAATTATCACATTATAAAATGTAAAAATTATATCTTTTCAACAAGAAATTTGTAGGTTTGTAGTTGTAAAGAAGCTAGCACCATCCTATCTTAACAAATGCCAACAACTATAAAAGAGCACCTAAAGACTGTAGATAACTAACTAGTATAAGAAGATCGATCAAAAGATTAAACATATAAAATACATCCCTAAATGATGAATAATACAAGACAGGCCTGCTAAGATTCCAAAAAATAAACAACAAAATCAAATGTGAAATAGAAAGTGACTTAAATCAGAAGCAGAAAAAGAAAAATGAAGGAAATCATTTGAAAAGGTTGGATCACTCATGTTGAGGAGAATGCAAGGAAGGTGTGAGGGAGGAAGTTCGAGGACACCTGGAAAACAAGATGGTCATGAGCAACCTGTATATGGTAGAATAATAAAAAACATAATCAACGGTTACTTTTCACGGCATATATGGTGGACACCCATCCAGAAAAACTTTCATGATAGAATGTTAGCTGTTGCGTGATTTATGTAATGCGTTTTGATTTCAAGTCCATCCTATTAGTTTTTCTAACTTATTAAAATCTGAATAAATTATTGTTAATTTTGAGTGATTTGTTGCTAAAACCTACATAGATACTTGTTGATGAAGAACTAATGCGTACAATTGTGCCTATCATATTAGTTTTTCCAAATTGTTAAAATCCAAATAAATTGTTATTAATTTTGGATGAGTTGTTGTTAAAACCTAAATAGTTTCTTATTGATGAAAGACTAAGAGTTGTATAAATAAACCTATCATATTCATTTTCCTAACTGTTAAAGCCCAGATGAATTATTGTTAATTTCGAATGAGTTTTTAAAACTTGAATAATACTTGTTGATAAAGAACTAACATGTATAATTATATACATCATATCATTTTTTCCAACTTGTTGAAATCCAAATGACTTGTTGTTAATTTTGAATGAGTTATTGTTGAAACTCAAATAGATACTTATTGATGAATGACTAATATTTATATAATTAAACTCATCAAAATTATTTTTTTAATTTGTTAAAACCCAAATGAATTGTTAACAAGTTGTTGTTAAAACTTAAATTGATACTTATCAATAAAAGGTTAACATATACTCCTTTCGTTAAAAAATTTAAGGCATTTTTTGAGGAGTTGGATGTTAAAAATGTAAGGCATTTTTAGTCTTTTGAAGTGTAATCATCATTTTTTTCAAAAGTGACTCTATTGATAATGATTTTATATTTATTATAGGGTATTTAATAGAGGGGAATATGAAAAGATAAGGTTAGTTGAAAAGTAAGTAACTACTTTATTGAGGGGTAAAATTCGGTTAAAAATGCCTTATATTTTTTAACAGAGAGAGTACAACTATTCAAAATTAATAATAATTTATTCGATTTTTACAAAGTTAGAAAAATAGATAGGATAGGCTTAATTTTACAAGTTTTATTCCTTTATCAATAAATATTCATTTGGGTTTTAACAATAATTTATTTAAAATTAATAACAATTCATTCGGTTTTTAATAGGGTAAAAAAAAACTAACAGGATAAACTTAATTGTATGTATTAGTCATTAATTAACAAATATCAATTCGTGTTTTGATAGCAACTCATTCGTAATTAACAATAATATATTTAAAATTTTAACAAGTGAAATGTATAAAGTTTTAAAACTCTTAATTTATAATTGACAATGTCAGATTAACAAATATTAGTAAAATAATAAATATTATTTACGAAATAACAACACACCATTATATTATGATATGAAAATTGTCTAGAAGCTCATGTTATTATTATTATTATTTTTTTCCATATATAATTGATTGGGTTTTGTGATTGGTGACTATTAAGTTTTTTAGGTAGCCAAGCAATGATAAGATTAAATCCCCTAACCATCATTATCAATTATTTTTGAATAAAATTATTGTTGGTGCCATATCTTTGATAACTAGCTGAGGGTAGTAGGGGTTCTAATGACCTCACTGTTGGCAAGGTTTTCGACGACAATATGATTGCAGCTGCTTGTGACAATGAAGGTTTTTTTAAAAAAAAAATTAAACTTTTGAAACAATTTCATCATTTTACATAAAAGGTTAATTTTATCTAAGGATCAACAAATTACAGTGAAAATTCAAAATTTATCAACTCTTAAAAAAATGCTATAAATTTCCTCCCGCAATTCTTGGTTGATATTTTCCCCATGATGAACGCCAATTGACACGAATGGCAGTAATCTAACTCACGAGACAAGCAGGTAAAATTACATTAAAGATCTGTTAAACGTCCATGACAAAATCTTAATAAAAAAACGTTCTCGCTAAAATTAAATACAAAATAAATACTAGCGGTTTTTTAATTGGTCTTCGCCTCGAGGTGTAAGGTAAAAAGCAAGGAGGGCGAGGTCGAAGGCTAGGTGCAGGCAGATGCAACATCAGAAGCAGCAGCTTTAACGAGCAAGCCGAATAGGACGAACGGAGCGGAGAAGAAGGGACTATGGTCAGTGTCCAGTTCGTACACAGAAGATGGTGGCCACCTCTTTATCATGGCCTCCTGCTGTTCTGGCTTCAACACTTTGTCTTGCATTGTCTTTATATACACTCGAGGTACCTTCTCCACTCCACCCTCTTCCCCCTCCTCTGTGAATCGCGTGTTCGTCAATGCCTGAATTGGCCCTGGCCTCAACAGCATCGCCGCTAACGTCGAATCCTGCGCTCCCAGCCAACATTTCCTTGCATTGGTTAGATCAGATCTATCTCCCTATTTACTCGCCTTTTCAGATTTTGTTTTCGATTCCAATTATACTCGCTTGTTGTTCTACCTTCTCAGCTTCTGTATAGTACTACGACTTCCTGGATTATTTGCCACTGTTGCTAGCTTTTTCAATAAAATTTCTTGCTTTTCTTATTCGAAAACTCCGTCTTAATTTAAAAAATTAATTGTAATTACTGTGCATTAAAAATTTGAAACCAAACCCACTCTTCCTTCTAGCTTTTTGGTGGCTTTTCTTTTTCAATCATAAAATGCATTCTCCTCTTCTTTTTACCTTGGCTAACATAGTGGGATGCTCGCTAGAAATGGTCCTCCATGAGGCCGAAGTGCAAATGTTGAAATTGAGGCTAAACAAAAGCATTTGTCATGTTTTATGAATTATGATAATTGTCCCTACCACCAGTTTTATGGATATGGGGGGCTCTTCGACCTTTTCAAGGGAGAACCATACCTCATTAGGGCTCAAAGGGTAGATGATTTTGCGTTGAAATTCTTTCTTCACCAAAACACTGGTTGGAGGCTTATCCTTTCCCTGTCCAAACCCAAGCTCGTACACATCCCCATACTCGGATAAATCTGGCGCCCCCTGTTTCACACATATCACATAATCTTTTTCATTATAATTGAGGCACAAAAAGTTAGCCATCCTTCTATCATAGCAAGCCATTAGGTTGACTAATTAGTCATTCTTATTCAATCATTGGAGGTACATTGAACAGAGTTATAATTCACTGTGTCCCAATAATGACAAAGTATAAAAAAATAAAAAATTATGGAACAGGGCTGTCGGATGATACCTGTTCAAGTTAAAAAGTTGGAAAAAAGCAAGAGATTTGACGCTTTTGTGTCCAAACGGGACAACATGTATGTGGACGATGCTTGTAATTATTAGTATACAAAGGTTGCTGTGTTGTGGTCCTGTGGGGTTTAATGGCACAAACTTATTGATACGATTTCTCCGGGGTGGGGGGATTTATTAAATTGAAGGAGGCCATTATGATTATGAGTGAGGTGAAGTAGATTTGCTGCACACATTGATTCCAGGCTCTTAGGAAAGCGAGTTGAAAAGTTTAGCGCCTGTTTTTGCTGTTTGGGTTATTAGTGGGGGATAAAATGGTCACTCACACAGCATACACATCTTGTGGACCTTTATAAAATTACGACTAAGAGCGTGCTCAATGGTAAAAAGGCAGGAAAAACTAAACCTTAAGGCAACCTACCTAAGTGGACAGCTAAAAAATAAGAATTGTCAAAAAAATAGAAAAAGAGATATTTAAAGGCTGTATGAAATTTATTTTATTTTATTATTTTAAAACTGGTGTTTTGTAGAACATGTTTTGAAAATAAAAAAAATAAAAATAGGTGTCTTTTTCTTTTTCTTTTTTTGTTCTCCAATCAATAATCCCAAACATCTGAAAGTTATTTCTATTTTTTCTGTTCTCCAAAATAATATTTTATTTTTTTTACTCTCCAGAACACTTTTTAAAAATACATTATCAAAAAAAATTTTTTGTTTTTTTATTTTGAAGAATTGAAAATAGAACAGATTTTTTAAACAGGCGCCTATTCTCTCTCTCTCTCTCACAATTTTCCTTTTCTGCCAAGCGAATTTCCTCCATTACTGAGCAGCTGCCAATTCGTTTGTGTATGGAACTATTATCACGAAACATGTGACAGAGTAGGCGACCGCGTAACGGTGGCGAGCCTTAGAATTTTAAGAACTACTTTGTCTGTGCAGACAGCGAGAAACGAATTATTGCTAGTTTGTAACAAGCTATCAACGTCATCCTTGCTGGAAGCCTTGAAAACCAGGAGAATATGATTCATCAATGGAAGCCAATATACACAACAGTAACGTTCAGTTCACTCAGCAGTCACCACCAAGTTCATGTTCACTCAGAGTAAACTTAGCAATTCTATTACCCACTCACCCTTTGTGCAGATATTATATTCTTGTCAAGCTTGAAAAAAAAAAAAAAAGGCATTCATGACAAATTGAATTCAATCTTTACGAAACTAGTTTGTGAGAAGGAGGCATTCAAAGTGGAAGCAAAAGTGATACAGCAGATCTAGTGAAAATTACTCACGTCTTTACGATCTTCATCTGTCCAGAATCCTAACTTGAGCATGGTGGCTGCAACATAGACAGCCAAACGGATCTTCTTTCGAAACTTGTGACTGGCTTGAGTGATGCTCAACCCTCCTGCGCTATGTCCTACAAGTATCACCTGTAGGACATCACCGAGATGGTGTCAGAAGTGAAACCTGGCCTCTATAATTTTCATATGGATGAGATCTAGATAACGATCCTTGAGTGTTTGTTATCAAATCCTCGATGAAACACATGACATGTGATGGTTTTTTTTTTTAAATAGTAACCAACTGTAAACAATATCGACTTGTCATGTTTTTATTAGAGAACCTGATAGCAACCACCTCAAAATTACACAGGAGTTTTGTCTTGCATGTAAATTCTCATTCAAGCTGAAGAAAGAGACAGGCAGAGAGATGGGATGGGGAGACAAGGGAAAACCTGTTCATTTTCGGGCAGAGCAGACATGAAATCCATAAGAGGTTTGTTGTAATCATCGAAAGAAAGAACAGAATCAACATCAGATCGATCAATTCCACTGCTTTTCAGGTCTACACACGAAACCTTGTAGCCGGAGTTCTCCATTAGGGACCGGATTTTGTACCAGCACCAGCTTCCTCCACCTACGCCATGTATCAGCACAAAGTGCTGCTTCAAGGGAATAATTCCTCTCAGGTCAGCCCCTTCTTCCCCTACGGCCATGACTTTCTCTGCCTTCAACTTACACTTTATCACTTTTGCTTTGATGGTGGGCTAAGCTTATGCGTAGCATGTATAGGGGTGGGAATAGTCTTATGGGATCATGATGGTAGCCTTTTTAATCTCTTTGTAAATCATTTTCGTTGGGAATTGGAATATTCATTGGTTACTGATATCTTTATTAGGTCATTTCCATTTCAACAACAGTCTTATCTCCTTAAGTGAGTGAGATTGATTATAAAAAATATAAAAAATTCAAAGCAGACATATGTGGATGATATTGATAACTCAGTCTGACATACCATTACGTATGATGCGCTCGGTGGCGGATTGGACCTTCATGAAGGGATCCAGAAGGCTCCAAATTGCATTTTACTTCTATGCCATTTCGTATGGGACACTCTACACTCATAAGCAATACGTGCTCATATATAATTAGACATTCTTGCAGGCGAGAAGATACAGCTTTGGAAATGGAGAGTTGTCCTTGAACGGCATGGCAAGAATTTATGTTTTTCTTTTGTCTCCCAGCAACAAACTGGATTTGATCATATGAAAATGAAACTGATCAAGAATGCGACACTAATTTGTTTCATTGTAATCACTTTTTAATGTTATCATATAATTAAAAAAAAAACATAACTTTAAGTCTATATACTTTGCTTGTGTTTTGCTATTAGTTCTTGTATTTTTTTTAATATTTTTGATTCCTGTACTTTTATTTTTTATTGTTTTAGATCCTTTTAAGATTCTTATATTTTGTTCATGAAGAAACCCAAAACGATAAAAAATAAAAATATAAAAATATAAAATATATGAACTAATAGTAAAATATTAGTAAAGTATAAAAATTTAAAATAATGTTTTTTTTATAATTAAATACTAATATCATGCTGGCCGGCAATATCTTCTTTTTCTTCATAATTTTATTGATTATTTGGATTCTATTTTATTAACTGATCGCGGCCTTTTAGGCCTTCATCTCCGTGTCTGGCCTACAATGCAGTGTGTATGAGTATGACCAAGCAGGCTAGTACAGTAACATGAATTTGGAATAAATAATTAATAATTAACAAGTCAAGGCTAAAGAAACCTATCCTGGAAAGTTACGAGGCTTTAGTGCCAGTACACAACGTAGTTTTAATTAATAGTTGATCTTCTTGGTCAACACACCAGATATAACCCACCTCCTAGCAACCATTATGAAAAGGGGTTCCAAATTCTATGAAGAAAGATTCTGATGTTCATGAATGATGTTTGTGAACATATTGGGACAGAAAGTTATAAACCTTTTTTGGTTTAACAGGAAAAAATGAACTAAGAGCTAAAAAGGAAGGTCATGGTTGAATAATCGCAAGTACAGGAGAAAGCCAGTGAAATAAAAAAGTGGTGAAGACACACAGAAAAGAATATGAAGGTAATCCGGCCATGTGAATGGGCAGGAGATAAATACCCTCGCAATCATGTCGCTGTCGACATCCGCCGGGGGAATGTTGTTCTCGCTATTATAGATAAGCCCTAAGAGCAAAAGTTAATTCAGGCCCCAAAAAACAGCAAAAGTCTATTAATTAAAATATCTCTGCTTTTATTTAAAGTTATTAATTAAGGCCGAATATTTCAAAAAACGCGCACTTTCTATTCCTATCATTAATGGGTTTATGGCTTTTTGTCTGTTTTTAGTTTTTTCTAATCAGTTAAAATCAAACTCCTCATCAATTTTTTTTTCCCTGCCTGCTACTGACAATTTGAAAATAGCATTATATCATTCGTCAGATCATGCACCCTATCTAACAAAATATGCTTGTTTTTAACCTTATTATTAGATTTATTTTATTTTAAGAGAAGACTTAAGTATTTAATATACTTTTGTCTAGTCAAATTAAATAAGTGTTTTTTTTAAGTATTAATAAATAATATAAAAAAATCACATGTTTTAAATTGATTGAAAAACTTTTTACACATATAAGGCTACTTTTTTTTTTTTTGGTCCCCATTTCTTAGTTATCTAAGAGAATGCCTGACATGACGTAGCAAAAAATTACATGGTCATCAGGAGAGGTGGCTTGAAGTGAAGGACCAAATTAAAAGGTTTTGCTTTAATATTAAAGGTTAAATTTAAGAGAAGGGGTTGGGGGGGGGGGGGGACGACTAAGTTGATCGCTGGCAATATTGATTCTCTCTCGATTGTCTACGGCTGGCACCGTGGCACGTGAAATTTCATAATTATACAGAAATTTATCACACTTTCTTAAATTGAATGTTTTTTGTCAGGAAAACATAATTTTAAGATTTTATATTTTTTTTATATTTTAAATTTTTAAATTTTTATTTTTTAAAAATGTAAGAACGTAAAATATAAAAAAAATTTGTAATAAAACATGAATAAAATACAGTAATTTAAAATTATATTTTCATTCTTTTACTTAATGACAGGAAAGTTACTCAGCATGGAATCCGTGCAGTGTAATCAATGTTAGATAGCATTGGCTGCTACTATTTGTGGCTCTTTATGAGCTGCCAACCTATATAGTGATTTCCCGGGTATCGTGCTTGGATCGCATATGCAGACACCTGTCAGTGTCGCCGAGTACTCTGCAATGGAGAAAATGCCAATGACTAAAAATGAAACTGAATGGACTGAGTTTTATGGGCATTCTACAAGGCACTCAACAGAGTAGTGATTTGAGTGGCATTCTTATGATGCAATTTGACGTGTGGCATTGTGTGTGGAAGAAGATTAATTCCATGATCTGAAAGGAGCTTTCATGTGTTCCAAATTCAGATCCAAAAAAGTCAAAGATTTGCTTGCTAGTAGGAATTGATCTTCCACTTCCAGCCCACCTCTA